GTTGTAAGGATTTTCTATAAATTCTAATTTCACCAATTTGAAAGGTCATGTTTTGTCTGCGCCATGATTAAAAGTGGATAACCGAGAAGTTATCTTTTCACTAAATGGGCCATAGAAATTTGAAAAAATCAATGCAAAGCTTGGAGGGCTAAATTCAATGTTAGCAATTGAGCAAACACCTTCAATTTTGATTGTTTATAAGGTTCCAACTACTATCCTTGGCATGGATGTATCGCAGGACTTGTCAGGGAATGAGAATTTTTTGTCAGTTTCTGTGGTGGTTAGTTATAGATAGTGGCTATTGATTTTTCGTCAAAAGGTAGCAACGAGTACACAGTGTCCAGAGCTTGAAATGATAGATTCTCTTTTCAAAACTTTATAGAAAATATGAATGTTTTACTAGATTTCTACACAAGTTAAGGCAAGAGAAGTCAAATTTATCAAGGGTAAAATTTACTGGGGCAAGATGCGTTCGTTCACAAGTCAAGATTAGCAAAAGTACACTGAGGTGTGACAGATGAGGAAAACAACCGAACTGAGAAAAGAATGAAGACTGCTCTAGAAATGAAGACTGCTCAAGAAATGAAGATTGTTCTAGAAATGAAGAATGTTCTTGCAACCATTCCCAACAGATCAAGAAAACATGCATTCATACATATTACATGAATTTGCATCTTTGCATCATACATTTCATCATTTCATAAGAAAGATAAATTTTGATTTACCTCTCATGAAGATGTCTGTAAAATATATTTTTGAGAAACTATTTTGTCCTTCTTAGGATCATTTTTCTAGAAAATTGTTTTAGTCCTTCTTATGGTTGTTTCTCTAGAATGTCGTTTGAGTCATTCTTAGGATTGTCTCCTGAGAAACCTTTTTAGTAATATCATTCTTCAACTTGACTTTTTCGTGTAGAGAAGTTAACCATTTACCAGGAAATGGCCAGATCGCTTCAATACGAGTGAGTTGTGTTATTTCCAGGATAGACCCAACAAAGAAAAAAACTCAGCGAAGATAAAGAAGCAGAGATTCACTAGACAATAGAATTTGCAACACTAAATTGGCATCATGCATGCATATTTAGGCATTTGCAAAATAGGAGCATACACATTCATTTTTCATCAAGTTTTGAATATTTGACAGGAATTCAAAGAGTCAACAAAGATTTCATTTCATGATTTCATGAGAAAAAAAAGACTAGTTTCAACAAAGATTCAATCCATATTTTCATATTTGAAAGAAGTGGAACTCAGCAAAGAATTAAAGACCTTTGGTTCATTACCCTCTGGGTACCTCAAATACATATCAATGACACATGATGATATTTTGCAGGTAAAATTATTCAAAGAGATGATAGACCAAACATTTCTAAGGAATGGTTCGTAATAAGAAGAACTCATCCAATGAGGGAAAAGAAGTTCATAAAGAGAAGAACTTGTTCAACCGCAGCTCGATTCATCACATAAGGAATTGGATCAGCACCAGCACTTTGCTAGATTCCATCATATAAGAAGTTGATCAGCATCGTAATTTCACTCGATTCCATCACAGAATTAGGTGGATCAACATTTCAAATGGAAGGGTTCGTAATGAGAATAATTCATATGATAATGGAGAAGAAGTTCATAATGAGAAGAACTTGTTCAACCTTAGCTCAATTCCATCACATAAGGAGTTAGAACAACGCCGACCTTGGCTCATCCAATATATAAGGAATTGGATCAACATCATCACTTTGTTCGAATCCATCACAAAAGGATGTGGATTAACATTTCCAATGAAGAAGTTCCTAATAAAAAGAACTTGTTCAACCTGGAATCAACCATTGCAAAAGGAGGTGGATAAATAAAGAGTTCATAATGAGAAGCACTCATCCAGCAAGAGAGAAGAAGTTCAGAATGAGAAGAACTTATTCAACCTTGGTTCGATTCCATCATTAGAAGAAGGCGAATCAATATTTCTATTATAGAGTTCATAATGAGAAGAACTCTTCCGATGAGAGTGAACAGTTTATAATAAGAAGAAATTATACCTCAAGAACTTCAGTATTTTGGGTCGAATAAAAATTATGCTTATTATATTTGCTTCATTATTGTTCCACAACAATGAGCAAAGAGGGACAGTTGTAATCACCATTTTTTATCCCAAAATATTTATAAATATAATATTATCATTATTACCAAAATAATAAAAAAGAAAAAAAGAGAAAAACAATCCCTTAATATTCAGGGCATTCAATACCCTGGTTACTGTTGATGCACCAATCCCAGCTCATCCACAACTGTTGCCATGCTTGTCTGATCAGCACCAAATCATCCCAAATCATCCAGAACAGTATCGTATTCAAAGGAAATAAGAAAAAAAATGGAATTTTATTCTAAACTTTGGTTGTAACAGTGAGAGTTAAACATTAACCCCAAACAAACCAATGTAAAAGGGATCTCTCCCTTCCATTTTGAAAGTAAAACTTACATGGATATTTCCCTTCAATTTTCCTCTGGGATCCAAAACAACATAAACCCATTTTTCATTTTTTAAAGGTAATTTCTAGATCTAATTCGAAACATAAAAACAACATATTTCTTTTATTTTTATTTTTTCTTTCATTTGAAACCAAGCAAAGAGAGAATAGTGTAGTGTGGGTTCACCTGAGTTGTGCGAGCGTCGGTTGGGTCTCTTCGGCTCCATCTCATAGATGTTTGGTGTTCCATCCTCAGAACTAATCGTCGGGAAAGGAATCGGTAAGATAGAATATCCTTAGGAGTCTTGCATGTGGCGTTAAGGGACCGATATGAGCGTTAGAGCCTAGTTGAGAGCTACCACAGTCTTGGGTCGCCGGAAAGAGCTAAGTCGAAGGGTCGGGGAAATTTTTAAAGCGTTTAGAGTATCGGTTTAGTGTTTTAGATCCCAAATAGGGGTCCATAAGAATAAAGTGAAGATTATGGGCGAGTTTTGGGTTCGATTAAGGTCATTGGACCACCATGGACGATGGTCGAGAAGGAGTATATACAGTGGTCGTCGGGTTTCGATTGAGAAAGAGGGAGGCAGCAGGAGATAATGGTTGAGAGAGTGAAAAGAGGGAGGACTTTCTTTTTTAGTTTCCAGGTTTAAAATGAAATAAACAAAAAAAGATGGGTTTTATAACATAAGTTTAGGGGTTATTTCGCTTTAGGTCCCTCCATTATTACCGTATTTTTACAAAATAGTCACATGTTCGTCCTTTTTTATTATTCTGTTTGAATGTGTGTACTTAGGTTGAAATTTTAATTTTTTTCATTTAATTAATTATTTTGGTTTAAATTTATAGGTTATTTATGTTGAGATCCCCTACTTTACTCGTGAATTCACATTCTGGTTACTAATTTCATGCATATTTATCTTATTTTAATTTTAATGTCCTAATAGTGCTATTTCACCTATTTTTATTGAGTATATTTTTGTTACGAAAGGAAGAATTTCACTTTAATTCCTCTATTTTACGTGTGTTTTTGCATTTTGGTTACATGTGGTGATTGTTTTAATTTTATTTTAATCTTAGTGGTCTAATCCTGTAATTTTTGCATTTTTGTTTATTAGCGCATATTTGGCTTATAAAAAATGGAAAATTGCTTTAAGATGCCCTTAGTTTACCCTCATTTTTATGTTTAGGTCATTACTTTATTTCTGAAATTGCATGCTTAATTTTAACTTATTTTAATTTGGTCTCTTTTCTGAACTTGTATGGTTATTTTTAACTTAGCCCCTCAATTATTCTACCTATTTCAATTTAATCCCCAGATTAATTTTTATTGATTAACTTAATATTAATTTGATTTAATAAATTCAGTTTTATATTTTTTAAGTTATTAATTAGTTTATTATTATTATTATTATTATTATTATTATTATTATTATTATTATATTTGTATTGTTAATTTTAGTATATTCAAATTATGTATGCTTGTTAATTTATTTTATTTTGATGCTTTTAATTTATATTCTTTATATTTAATGTTTTCTTTAATTTATTTGATTTTAAAATCAACCCTTTAGTTTTAGATTCCTTTAAATTAAGTCCTTATTAGAAATTTTTAGGCTTCAATGTTAGTCCTTAGGTTTAGACTATTCACACTTTAATCCATAAACTTCTTTAATTAGGAATTCCTTTAACATAATTAAATAGGTTATTATTCAGAGCCTCCACTTTAGTATAGAATTCACTTTAGTACTCTAATTTAGGGAGTAATCTGAGTTGGCCCTCGCATTCATGCTCAAGGGACCATCTCGATTATTCGATACAATAATTGGTTAAAATCAAATATGATTAATATTAGAGCCTCCATTTCTAGGTTTAGCCCTCTATGTTCTTTAAATTACATAATTTGACATTGTAGGTTAGGGAAAGCCTTAATTAAGTATCTAGTATAATTAGGTTGACATAATTGATTATTTGATTGTATTTCTATTTCACAACTAAGGCAATGTTGATTTACCAAAGAATCAATGGTATATCTCCTGCAAGTATGCTCATGGGTGACTACTGGTGATTCCCGAAATAGGTCGACATCCTTTTCAAGTCTGGATCATGATTTCTTAAAGTCAAGGCAATATCTGGTTATTAGGCATAATAGTTTATCTCCCGCATTCATGCTAGGGGCGAACACTATTGGCTTAAATAAATGAACATCCTTTTCGATTGTGCATCCAAATATATGGTAATCAAATAGATATCAATTTTTGGGCACTGTTAGGGTGTTAATCATTCCCCACGCGTAACTTGACTCCCGAACCCGTTTTCTGAATTTTCGTAGACCCTAAACTTGATATTTTGATAAAATAAGAAATATTTTATTAAAATTATCCAGTTTTATGGTGTCCCGGTCGCATCTTAAAATGATTGATGACGACTCCTCACATTTCAAAATCTTTTTAACAAAAGAAAAAACCCATAAGTTGTACTAGTTATTTCCCACCCGGGCGAAAAACGGTGTCGACAAACAGGAATAAGAGAATGAGGTTCAATTAATATCACATTATTGTCATTTTACAAAGCTGCATATGTTGCAACAAGGATGGATATAGACAATTGAAATCCATCCTTTTATTCTTGAATTGTGGCCTCCGTCGTAGAAAAAAAAAAGGGCTTGAATACTGGTCGAATTTAGGTCTTATAATTGGTTACCTAGTGGTTTAAACAGCTGGGGGATTCGAATGAAATGGGTATACCTGCAAATCCTTGTAATGGTTGCATGATTTGAGAAGTAAGAAGTTATACTAGAACAGGCAATGGTGTTGATCTTTCGATATCAGCTCCTAGAATTTGAAGCTTGGTATCTATTTTCTCATAGCCTCGCTCAATATGTTCAATTTTATGGATCTCAGTGGTTCCTTTTGCAGCCAATCCTGCCAATATAAGTGAAGCCCCACCTCTCAAGTCCCTTGCAATAACAGGAGAGCCACACAGTGAACTGCCAAAAGTTATCATCAAATGGTCAATGATTCTGATGAGTTAAACGAACATCCAAAACCCTGTACCAAAAGGAAATACTTACCTTCCTTCGTCTTTACCAAAAACTATCGCGCTGCTCTTGCTAACCTGAATTCTCGCACCGAGCTTCTGCAGTTCCCTTGCTATCCAAAGGCGAAGAGAAAATTAGACATGCTTATTGCCGATTTCATGGAAGAAGCAAGCAAGCATGCAATGGGCTGATATGCATCAGAAAATCAACAATGCTTAAGAGAACAAAGAGAATCATGCAACATTGTCTCCTTTCTTCATTGACGAAAAAATTAAAGTGAAAAATCAATGCTTGATTGGTGTCATATTATGGCAGTTCATACATACCATGAGTCATACGGTTGTCAAACACGGACTCCTCCACCAAGCTTGAACCAGTGCATGTAGTGAGAAGTGCCATTATTTGAGGCTGCAGATCTGTTGGAAATCCTGGAAATGGACTAGTCTTAATACCGAAACCTCTCAAATCATCACCAACGTATGCAGGAACAGCTGAAACCTGTGCTGATGGTTTTCTGGTCATACAAAAAATAAACTTAAGTTGCCAAAACAACAAGTTACTGTAAGAATTTCATACCCGTAGTGTGTGCTGATCAAGCTGTGAAATTTTGCAGCCAGCTTCTGAGAGTTTGTCGATCAAACATGAAACAGAGGAAGGAATGGCAGGGGACATTGAGATGCATGAGCGAGTAATTGCTGCAGCAATCATGAAGGTGCCAACTTCGATTCGATCCGGTCTAATAACACATTCTGAACCATAGAGTTGGCTCTTTCCCCAGATAACAAGAGTGCCAGTCCCGGCCCCTTCGATCAATGCCCCACTGTGGTTCAGAAAATGAGCAATATCAACCACCTCTGGTTCCTGTGTTCAAAATATAGAGCCGAAAATAAGGAACAGCAGAAATTATAGATTTCTTCCCATTACATAACAGGGAACTAAAACATCAGTGGGGATTCCTCCAATCATTACTTTGGCCACATTTGAAAGCACGGTTATCCCATCAGCCATGGATGCTGCCATCATAAGAGTTGCAGTTGCCCCAACACTCGGGTAATCAAGTCGGAATCTTCCCCCAACCAATCCTTTTCCATTTGCAGCATGTGCCCACACTTTCCCATCCCTGCCACATTGCGAAAACAAGCTCATATTACCCCCAAACAGTCTTGCCATAGTCAATCAACAAAGATCAAGCGAAGAAAGTAGAAGTGAAATTACTGTACTTGCCTCAGTTCAACAACAGAACCAAGAGCTCTTAACCCTCGAAGATGGAGGTCCACAGGCCTCTTTCCAATATCACAACCGCCAGGCAAGGCCACGACAACTTCACCAAACCTGGCCAGCAATGGCCCTATAACGAAAAACCCACCTCTTATCTTCTTCATTTCCTCCGAATCCACCTCCACTTTGTCAACTCCATCACTGTTAACCATCATTTTCCCATCAAAGGACTCAACTTTAGCACCCAAAAAGCTCAGGATGGAAGCCATGGCCTGGATATCGGAGATATTGGGAACATTGTGCAGAAGTGAACTGCCTGAGCAGCAGAGAGTGGCAGCTAAGAGGGCTAAAGAAGAGTTTTTTGAGCCACTTATGGTAATGTGGCCTGACAGAGCTGCAGGTCCTTTGATTCTGAAAATGGAGTCTTGCTTGGTGTTTTGGTTAGAGAACTGGGTTTTCTGAGAAGAGCAAGAGGGAACGAAGGGTTTTGGGAAAATGGAGAAGTTGCAAAAGAGAGCCATTTTCAGAGTGCTTCTGGGCTACTAGGCCAATCTTTGGTTTTGTTTTATTTGATTTTTCTGTCGGTGTTTTTTGTTATTTTGTCAGGGTTTTCTTTAATCTTTTTTGCTAGAAAAAGAAAAAGAAATGCTGGATTATAATCAGAAGCTAATCAAATTTTAGATGTTAAATACTGTATTATCTCTCTACTTTCTTCTTCCCCATGGATTCTCTCCCATTGTTATTCCGTTGAGGGTGCTGTCTCCATCATCTTCATGGGAGGTAGGTCAAGAAATAACTGAGATAGATCACTGTCAATCTCCAGTTGTCCACACATGATGAATTATTCAGAAAATTTTCCCATATTTCGAAATATGTTTGGTCTCATCTTCAAAAAAGTTTTATCTCCTAAAAGAATACGCCCGGTGGTGGATTCAAATTTCTTTTTTGAAGTATATATATATATATATAAATAAAAAGTCAAATTTTAGAATAAACAGATAGTGATGATGCAATTTATAAGTGCTGTTAAAACTGCGGTATGCGGTTAAGACATACAGATATGATAGCACTATAAAAAGTTGCCAATCTCGAGACGCATCTTCCAACTACCAAACCTGTTCAATTAAAATGCATATTTAAAATGTGGTATTGGTTGGTCCATGCAAAGGCAAAACACAGTACCAAAATTCAATGCTTTCCCATGTTCTCAACACGAACTTGGGATTCTAAGTCGCGGTCCATCTTTTCTGTTTAAAATGTGATAAACCACATGTCTAAATTTATCCTTAAAAAATATTTTAAATCAATCTAATACTTTTTTTATTGTCCTCACGATTATTAAGGTTTTATTTTGTCCAATTCAGATCGATACGAGTTGCATATTTAATTTTTGTAGGTGAGTCTCCTAACGAGAATTTTTTACATTTTTAAAGACTCGAACTTAAGACATACTTAAACGATATCAAACTGCTTACCACTTGAACCAACCCTCGTTGATCAATCTAATATTTTATTATTATGATTCATGATATTATCTCACTTAATATATACTCCTAGTAATCGGAAATTTTTATTAATGTATCACGATTTTATTTGAATGTTGGCCTACAATCTATATATATAGAACATGAAATATTATGATTAAAATATTAACCCTACAATAAATTATTAAAATGTGTATGAACACTTAGTATAAACTAGAGTATGGAAAGATATTATGAGTTTACTTCAAACTTTACGTGCATGATCTAAATGAATAAAAATTAAAATATAATAATAGGATTCTCTTTCTTTCCTTCATTTTTATCAATCTAGAACTTTAAATCATTTAACAATAAACGTTCAAATACTATGCAATCTATGATGCTCGAACATGAGATTTCTATGAGTAACAACTATAATTTTAATTACTAAAAATTTATCAAGCGAAAATCTTATTATTAAAATATAATATAAAAAGTTATTAAAATATAACAGTCGCTTTAATATGATTATATTTCTTTATAAATTATATAGTTAGATATTAACCATAAAATTTGATATGTATTATCTAAATGAATAAAAATTAAAATATAAAAATCGAATTCTTTATTTTTATTAAGCTAAAATGATTATAAAGTAGTGTATTTTCTAAAATAACGATTATATTCGTAAATTATGATATAAAAATTATTAAAATATAACGGTCGCATTCTTCAATTATTTCTATTATAAATATGATTATATTTCTTTATAAATCATATATTTATTTTTTATTAATATGTGGTAAGTAAAATGTAATATCTATTTAAAAATAACTTTCAACCATTTGATATTAAATGTCTACACTCCTTATATTTTTTGTGCCCGAACCCGATGTCTCAAGAAATAACAATAATTCTTTTATCATCAAAGTCACTTAATTCGTGCTAACCATAAAACTTGACATGCTTGGATAGTCATCCGGTACATGGGGAAGATTTCTGATATGGCCAAATCTAGAGCTCTTATATTTTTCCTCAGGAGAATCAACTCATTTGGAATTTCTACATTGCACAAAGACATTTGTTTACCAAAGCTTGGAGAAATTGTGTTGGTATGTAGGTGAGGAGAAGCAGATTCAAAACACTAAAGAATGTCCGATCAATACATTTAAAACTGTTGTTTCTTAACATTCTAATTCGATAATACATAAAATCTTAAAATTTACTATTATTTGACTTGATTAATAAAACCGTAAACACATAAACAAAACAATTATAATATAATAGAGAAAATCAGCAATGACAAACATAACATAAACTGTAGCATTATTCTTATACCCTAGATCAAAACTAATTTGATAATGTTGACATGAATTCGACCGATGGTGATATCCAAATGTATGGAAGAAGATCTATATGCGAAGACTTGAATTGGTAATATGTTTCGAAGCTTTTATCTTTCGAATGGAAAATATCAATATCAAGTGGCTCATATGCATTGTCATAAAAGTAATTATCGGTAAAAATATATTGAATTAGATTTACCTTCAAGAAAATCCAGGGTTGATGCTAATAAAGTTTTTTTATCACCCACAAATACAATATTTCCATTGATATAATTGACCTTTTTCTTCTCTAGCAATTTCCCTTCGGGCTTAGCAACGCCCTTGCAACATTCCAACGATACATGTTGAGTATTTTCTCCGATCACATTGAGCGAGGAATCGAGGTATTTATGGACGATTTTACCGTCTATGGTAATTCATTCGCCCAATGCCTTTCCAATCTTTCTTACGTTGTAAATCGCTGCTTTGAATTTAATTTGGTTCTAAATTATGAGAAGTGTCATTTCATGGTAAGTAAAGGCTTAGTTCTCGGACATGTGGTTTCATCAAAGGGAATCATTGTTGATAAGACGAAAATAGATATAATTCGTTCACTTCCATACCCCACTTGGGTGAGGGAGATTCGATCTTTCATTGGTCATGCAGGTTTTTACTAGCGCTTCATAAAAGATTTCTCCAAATTGGTGCAACCTTTATGTCGTTTGCTACAAAAAGATGTTTTCAATTTTGATGAAGCTTGCAACGAGTCATTCGACATACTAAAAAAGAAACTCGTCTCCGCACCAATTGTAAAACCACTGGACTGGAGTTTGCGTTTGAAATAGTGTGCGACACCTCCGATTTAAGTGTCAGGGCTGTTCTCAACCAAAGAAACGGAAGAGATTTTCACGTCATCGCCTATGTTTCGAGGATTCTCGATTTGGTTCAACGCAACTACTCGACCACGGAAAAAGAATTATTTGTCGTTATCTTTGCATTAGAAAAATTCCGATCTTATTTACTCGACACTAAAATTTATGCTTTTTCTGATCACGCAACATTGAAGTATTTGATGAAGAAGGAGACGAAGCCGAGGTTGATTAGTTGGATTCTTTTACTCCAAGAGTTCGATCTTGAAATTAAAGATAAAAAGGGGAGCAAAATATTGGTGGCAGACCATCTTAGTCGATTGCCAACGTCTATGGTCGAGCCGCCCATCCGAGAACAATTTCCAGACGAAAGCTTAATGGAGGCGTTTTTCCCCGAAAGAAAATTAAATACATTTCTTTTATGGGGATCTCTTCTTCAGCTTTAACAGTGGAGATATGAAATTTGTCTAAGAAGACTTGTTTTGCACCGAGAAGACTTGTTTTACAATCAAGAGATATTTTTAAAAGTATTCCTTGAATCCCTATAGTTTAACAGGTTTCTTCAATATTTATAAATATGGCTGTTAGATTAAGATGAAGAAGAAGAAGAAACCCTGTAAAACTGGGCACAGATCAGAACTAGTAACGTACCCATTTGAAAACTGAAATGATACAAATCAATGGAATTTGTTTGTCAGTGTTAGGAAACTAGGTTGAGCTTTAAGATTCAACAAACATTGAATTCTTTCTTATTGATTCCAGTAATCAGATACATTGCTTTTATAGTAGGTACAGAAGCTTAGCACAAGTCTAGAAGCTTTGTAACTACCTTAACTGACTGCTGACAACTCTAACAGCTCTAACTCTCTTAACTAACTTTAGCTACTTAGTTAATCTAATAGTCAGCTACTGTGTAATGGCATCACAAAAGAGTAGCACAGAATTGAAGAATACCCAACAGGCTTTACTGTGATTTTACACGAACATACTAGTTTCATAATATCATGGGGAAGCAACAAAAAAACTCTATATCTCAAAAATGAAGAACAAGATAATGCAAAGCATCCACTAAAGAAACCATTGAATGAACACATCATCCATAGGAGTAATAGAAGTTAGTAAAGGGGAAATCACCTTCTGTCTGATACACCATGCTTTGATTTTGTTTAGAGGAATAAACATATTTGGAGCTTACTCTTTTAGTCTTGCATTATATGAGAGAAAGGATGATGAGACTGCTAGAATCTTTGCAGAGATTGGTTCCGCTCTTCTGCTTTTGGCTGCTTTGATCTGCTCCGCAAGAGAAACTTCTCTTTGCATTTTCTCCTTCTTTATAAGCTCTATATTCAATTTCTCCAGAGCTGGGATTTGCGCACTGTCTCCTTGAATACTGACTTGACTACTAATGGATTTCTTTTTGCGGATCTAAGGATGGAAGTTGTTATCATAGAGAAAATGAGTTAAGTAACCATGGAAATAAGTTATTTATTACAGGCCAACTACTAATTCGAGTTCTATAAGCTCAAGTCCTTTACAAGCTGCATATCATAGAGAAAATGAGTTAAGCAACCATGGAAATAAGTGATTTATTACAGGCCAACTACTAATTCGAGTTCTATAAGCTCAAGTCCTTTACAAGCTGCATGCCTCTAATTCAATAGGATGAAAACAATAAGAACATGGCACGTATTCAAGAAATTTTTTATCCGTTATCTGAAACCGACTTATTATTTATGATAGGCGGGGGGGGGGGGGAAGAGTTATGAACCTATCCACAAAGAACATTAAGTTCCATGCAATGACATCTATGAACAAGCAATAATTGCTACGTTAAAATTGCAGCAGGTTGGAGGGTTCAAATCTAAGTCTTTCTGAGGTTTCTTACCATTTGTAATCTCTGCTTATGTTTCCTCCATTCGGGGTCTGCCACCTCATCTTTCTTCGATTTTTCTTGCTTCTTTCTCTTCAATTCTCTTGATTTCTCTCTTTTCCTGCTCTTTTCTCTTTTCGCTCTTTTCTCTTTTCAGCAATCCTTGCCATCCTTTCTGCTCTTGCTTTTTCCGCTCTTACCTTTGCTATCTCCTTTCCCTTGGCCTTCTCTGTATCCCACTGAAGTTGTTCATGAGCTATTTCTTGTTTTATCTTGTCGTAGCTATCCCATTCTAGCTCAGCCTGATCACTCCCTCCTTTCCTAGCAGCTTCAGTTATACTTTTCATCCATGATAGAAAGAATCTCTCCCCTAATTGTTTCCATTTCAAAGGCTTGCCCCAAGCATGCCTAACTGAGGAACCAATTCTTGCCTTGCTTTCCTCACTGCAGGAATTGTAATAACATCCATTTCATGATCTTTAGAGGTAAGGTTTATTGTAAACTTTAACACTGTTTCAATGGCATACAAATTCGTGCTAATAGTTAGAAAAGCTCATTCCATGTTGCTTATGAAGAGAAAATTACTAAGAAAGTTGATATAAACTAAAGAAATGATGCAGTTTCAGCCGAGGGTAATTAAAATCACTGACACAGTGATCAAAGCTCATATCCTGACAACGTTGTTATATTACAAGATATTATTAATACATACAAGGCTTAGTGCTGGTCCAATTTAATTTTAGTACATCATCTAGCTGGCATGTATGCGGTGAAAGTTATTGCAAACATAACTTTAGGCTTTAGCTTTTAGTTCTAAGGATTTTGAATACACCTCTTAAAGTTAAAAGTATGAAACCAATTCCATGTCCAATGCTTAATGAAACACCAATAGCAAATATTTTTGTCAAGTTCTTCAAATGCAAAATTACCTATGAGTTCGGGGATGTTCAGACATATTCTTCCTAACCTGGAAAACGAGAGATGGGCAAAATTTCAATGAAATAATGATGATGATGATGATGTCACCTTTTCACTGCCTATAGAAAAACTAGCCTCTATTAAAAATGACTACTGCTATACTCTTCTAAAATCGATGCCTATCAATAGCAACTGATAATGCTGATTTAGTGAGAACAAACTCTTGTTTGTTTGTCAACATATCATGGATGCTTACCCCTATTTCAAGAGTATCCATGTGAAAAATAAAAACATCCCAAAACTGCTTCAGTCTTATATGACATCATCTTGGGATCATTCAAGGCTTCTATCGTTCGTTGCTTGATTCGTAATTGTGTCTCTGCAAGATACAGCATTTAAACAAGGAATTCATTGACCACATAAAGATTGAAACCAAAGTGATTAAGTTAAATTTTAGAGAATTGTTACCAGCACTATGTTTTCGGCCTTTGTTCCATGGCACCCTCCCTTTATTCGCCAGCCCTATCTTCCTCCTCCTTTGCTCTTTCCTTGAAGTCTTCATCATTGGAGTATTCCTGAGAGCTACGGCAAACATATACCTGAGCCTCCTCACCCAAACTTCGAATCTGTTTCGACTTTATACTATCTTTTGACCAACAGCTGTTGCAAGACATGAATCTTTCCCCTGCACCCATGGAAGTTTGCAAGGCTCTAACAGGTTGAAAGCTCAAGGAACATCTACAGGAATCTGAGGGAAACACTTTTTTCACAACAAATTGATGGTAGTTTGACAGCAATGTGTTTGGTTGGCAATGCATATAATCCACCACAGAGGAAGGAGGCCACGAAAGGGTATCTGGAACATATAATCTCCTGATAAACTCAAATGAAACAAGGTACCAATAAGACGAGCAAATTTTGATACAGTAACTTTAAAAAGGGGGAAACTCTCTATAGCATTTGAAACCCAAATTCAAAAATAACCCATGATTGCAAAGAGCAGCCTTTTTCAAATGGTAAACTGAGACTTAAACAACAGGAAATGCAATACAATTTCATTCGTATCTACAGAAAAGTTGAACTGCTATTGACAGAGAGAGGAACTTACAATTGAAAAATTGACATCAGAGATGATCGATTAGTCAGTATCGAGATGATAGCGCACTGTTATCGGAGTTTGTGAAATGGAGTTTGGCTTTTAATGAAGAAATGAGCTTTCAGTGTAGAGATTTGGGAGGGACAAACACAATTGAATAACAACCAGACGTTAAGGATTGCCTTTCTTCCACATTTTACCCATGCCTCCATACCTAAAAGAACATATTTTTAATAGAGATTAGTCACGTTGCATTTCGCGTTGCGATAGTTGGAAATCGCGTTGCGATGGTCTACAGTGTCGTTGCGATTTTCCCAATTCGCAATGCGAATAAGTAAATCGCAACGCGAATTGGGAAAATCGCAATGCGATACTGACTATCGCAATGCGATACTTACTATCGCAATGCGATAATACAAAATCGCAACGAGATACTGACTTTCGCAACGCGATTCTGACTTTCGCAACGCGATTTACATAGCGTCATTCGTATTAACGCGTATTTTTTTTTTCAAATTCCAAACACGAATTTTTTCTTAATAAATCGGAAACTGAACCGTCCACAGTAATCGCAACTCATAACCTCAAACCCAAAATCACAACACTCACTCCCATCTCCATCTCTCACTCTCTACGGCGAAATCCGTCCCCATCTCCGAAGATTTTCGTCCCCATCGCCGGCGAAATCCCTCACAACCATTCACAGTCAAAAATCCCTCACAATCATTCAGAAATGGAAAATCAACCTCCGAGTGTTAGTTTTATTTTATTTTTATTTTGAAATTTTTGCATTATTTTAGGTTTTTCATATTGAGATTGATGATAAGTTTACTGGTAATTTCAATAATAGATTAACAATTTCACTTAGATTTCTTATTAAATTCATTCAATTGTTGTCAATACTGCTAAACTGTTTAGCCTGTGAAGTTAGTATTTGTCTTTGTTTTGTCTTTTGGTTGAAGTAATGCAGAAGAAGAATAGTTTCGAGAATGAAAATCGCAACGCGGAAATAACTATCGCAACGAGAGAATCGCAACGCGAAATAAAAATCGCAACGCGAAACCAAAATCGCATTGCGATTTTCATTTCGCGTTGCGATTCTCTCGTTGCGATTTTCATTTCGCGTTGCGATTCTCTCGTTGCGATAGTCATTTCGCGTTGCGATTCTCTCGTTGCGATAGTCATTTCCGCGTTGCGATTCTCATTATCTCGTTGCGATTTTCATTTCAACCAAAAGACAAAACAGTGTTGCAAATTTTAGTTTCAAGAATAAACTACTATTTATGTTTATTGTTTTTGGTATATCTTGACAGTGTAGTTTTTGGTATATCTAACTTGGTATGTTTATTGTTTTTGTAGAAATTTTTTTCGGCTTCATTGACATTAAGGAATAAAGTTAGCCTAGCCACTACAATTGCTTCGAAGCTTTCACCTGCACAAAGAAAATTGTTTGAGGAAACCTGCTTCGGGCCATGGCTGAGAGTACAACATCCGAGTGGAGATGCTAATTTGACCCATTTGTGGCTTCAGACCATGACTAGAGATCTACCCGACAGTATACAACGTGGTGAGAAAGAGATATGGTTTCATTTTCCACCGGCGTATACTTGTTTTGGGCAGAAGGAGTTCTGCTTAATCACTGGTCTACGATTCGGACACGATGATGTAGGCCGGTACACTCGTCATATCACCCGCCCATCATGGTTATCCAGGGTTTTTCCTGATGAGTCAATAGAGAAGCCGAACTTACACGTCGACGACATGAAGAAATTGTTTAATAAGAAAGATGGTTTTACTCGGATGAATGACGTCGATGTTGTCCGAGTATGCCTTCTACTACTTTTGTATGCCGGCTTTTTAGGCAGAGAGGCCAGACAACCTATTCCTCAGGAGCTAATATTATTGGTAGAGGACCTAAATGCATGGAATCTGTTTCCGTGGGGTTCGTATATATGTAAAGCTACCTGGACTAAGTTGTCGTCTGCCTTTGATGACCGCAAAAGTTTGCGGGGCGATGGGTCGAAATACACTTTGTCAGGCTTTGTTTGGGCCTTTAAGGTAAGAATTTCTATATAATGTTTTCAAAATTATAATTAATTATTTAACAATTACTAATGTTTTTTATTATATTGTTTGTAGATTTGGATATTCGAAGCCTTTCCCGCCATGAAGACATATGCAATAAAAACTTCAAATGATATTCCCAGGGCTATTTCCTGGAAGAGGAAACGTCTGTTGGATTGGGAAGACTTAATACCATATGCGACAATAAATAATGTAAGTTAACACAAATACTATCATATATAAACAAGTTATTAATAGTAGACGTTTAACTTTGTTTGAGTTTTTATATTTTTAGGAGGCCAACATTCCATTAATTAGACTGACACCCACGGAGGCTGAGCTTGCCACTGATTGGTGGCAAGCTAGTCAGCGTTTTCTTGATGGTACGAATGATGAGCAGCCTCCACTTCCTCCACTTTGAGAGCCATCACCTCACCCAGAGCCATCACCTGATCGACCCGACTATACACCTCTACAACGAGAGCCATCACCTATCCCATCACATCATCGAGCCTCTCCTCCACCATCACCTCATGATAGGCGACCGGCAAAGATGCCACGACTTCTATCTCCCTGTTCTCCACCTCCACGGGATGAGTCAAGGGAGTTACGTGATGAGGTCAATGCCTTGCGTGAGGAGATCGATACTCTACTCGATAACGATTGTGCATGGCGTGTGGAGGTGTCTACTTTACGTGGTGAGGTTGCCGCTCTACGTGAGATGGTAGTATCGTTGCAGAATGAGGTTCATACTCTACGCAACGAGGTAAGTTTAAGATTTTCCATATTTAACTTGATGATAAATTTACTCGTAATTTCACTTAAATTAACCATTTCACTTAGATTGCTTAGTAAATTTATTCGGTTGCTGCCAATACTGCTAAACTGTTTATTAACACTGTGAAGTTAGTATTTGTCTTTTTGTTTTGTCTTTTGGTTGAAGTAAATTTATTTGGTTGCTGCCAATTCTGCTAAACTGTGTATTCTTTAACACTGTGAAGTTAGTATTTGTCTTTGTTTTGTCTTTTGGTTGAAAGTTTGAAATATATTTGTCTTTGTTTTCACTGTTTAAATATCATGTCTGTTTATTTACTTATATTTGTATTTAATTATTTAGCGGACCAATAAGGTGGATGCTTTACGTCAGGTTTTTCTTGCATGACAGAGTTCACGCATCAGACGGCGTGCACGTGCTATTAAGTCTATGTATACCCCAATAGTGCGAAGACACCGCAAGAAGAAGCCCGACTCGCCTGTCATCCCTCAAGAGTCCACTCCTATCATTGAAGAGGCCCCTATCATTCCTCGAGAGTCCCCTCCCACCATTCAAGAGGCCACTGTCATCCCTCAAGAGTCCACTCCTATCGTTGAAGAGGCCCCTATCATTCCTCGAGAGTCCCCTCCCACCGTTTAAGAGGCCACTGTCATCGTTGAAGAGGTCCCTCCCACCATTCGAGAGCCTGATTCACATGGCGTCATATGTAGGAATCTTGAGAAACCCTCTGACGTGCCGGACATGATGGATTCAAGTTAGCTCTCGTATGAGTTACCGGCCAGTACCATACCGGTATCTGAAGTGGAGAGGAAACAACTACCGGACACAATTCTGGATAACACCCTTTGGGCTAAGACCGCAGTTGATTTTTATCTACATGAGCGAAGCCAGGGGTGTTTCACTGACATATGCAAGCTCAATGATGATATCTATTTGTTGCTTGATCGGTCTTGGTGGGGCGTATTATTAGGGGTCGAAGACAATGGCTATTTCGATGGAGGGGTAAGTCTTATATTTTTCTTATATTTTAATTTGATTATTTTTTTGTAAATTTATGTAAGTTACTAATATATGTCTTTTTTTGTAAAACAGCATATCGATGCGTGGGTGCCACGTCTTCTAATAATTAGGAAACTTAAGGAAAATAAAAGAAATACACGATATACAATTATGCCGACGTCTTTTAACGCCGTTCACTTGAAGAATCAACGAGATGAATCATTTGTGTTGGGCAATGGACAAGCTAAACTTTATCCTGCATGGTGGGAGGTCGATAAGGTTAGTGTTTATTTTAGATTGAGTTTAAAGGTATTCATAAATAAATGCGCAAATGAATGAATTATTACTTATGATTGTAGGTGTTTATCCCTGTTTTGGAACGTAACCATTGGCTTCTCGTCGAGCTTCAGATCCCATCCCTTAAGGCAATAGTATATGACAATATGATAAATTACATATCATTGGCTGATTTAAGAGATATTATTAAGGGATGGAGCTCTTATTTGGCTAAATTCTTGGATGCGATAAATTATTGGACTCGTTCTGGAAACAAGAAGCCAAAGAAGCTCAATATTACAGTTAGCAGAGACGAGACCGCACCACAACAAACGAAAGGACCCAGAGGGGATTGTGGTCCTCTCGTATGCTTGGCGTTGGACCGTTTGATCACAGGAAGTATAAAGTATCTACCTTCCACCAATATAGATAGAGCTGCAGTAGGCTTGTGGTTTCGACATTATATGGCTAGATCGATATATACGAGACGCTGCCTACCTGCATCCGCGTTATAAAAATGTCCATAAACAATTGGTATGTTTATAGGCTTGTGGTTTGAAAATATTTGGTTAAGTACCTAGAATTCAATAATTTGCTGTTTGTAGGTTTTAAATGTGTAGAAAGTGTTGTTTGAGAAAATGTTTGGTTTATGCAGGTTAATCTCAGAAGTGAGTTGCGTGAAAATGATGTATGGCTGCAAAAGTTGATTCAATAGTAGAAGTGTTATTTTCTCTAATAATTATTGCTTATTTTTTTATTGTTTAATTGATTTGTAAAAGGTGATTTGTAAAAGTTGATTTGTTTAATTGATGTTAACATAATTCTTATTTGTGCTTGTTTAATTGATTGAAATGTAATGGTTGATTTTGTTGATTTCAATCTGCGTTATGTTGAAGGCAAAAAAAGTACTATCGCAATGCGAAATGAAAATCGCAACGAGAGAATCGCAACGCGAAATTAAATTCGCGTTGCGATTTTCATTTCGCATTGCGATTCCCTCGTTGCGATTTTTATTTCGCATTGTGAAATTAGCGTTGCGATTTTCATTTCGTATTGCGATTCTCTCGTTGCGATTTTCATTTCGCATT